ATAGGAGATCAATATGGAATGAAAACCTGAGTCAGGGACAAGCTATTTGGAGCTCTGTTCTAGGGTAAAGGGATCTGAACTGGGGCCCTTACTGAAAACGTGTTAACTGTCTACATTAGAAAACTGACTGAAAGTATCAATCAGTAAAGCCAACAAGTCCGTAATGCATGAGATATTTGGGCCTGACTAAATGAGACTGGACAGAAAGGAATTGGCCTTAAAGATGAAGGAACAGAGAGGCAACTAGCCATTAAATACTGGGGGAAGCCAGGCATGCTGGTATAGGCCTTTAATCCCAATGCTCAGAGAGCAGAGGCAGGAGGATCTCTGTGAGTTCCAGGCCAGTCAGTAATACATAGTGAAACCCTGTCTTTATAAAATAATCTCCTAAGCTGTGGGTGGGGGTTCCTGTCCCACCAGGTCCTACAGCCCTTTAGTCCCAAATAAATACACAAAGTCTTCTATTAATTATAAGCTGTTTGGCCGATGGCTCAGGGTTCTTATTGGCTATCTCTCTCTTAATTATTAACCCATTTCTAGTAATCTGTGCATCTCCACGAGCTCTTGGCTTACCTGGTAATACACAGACCTCTTGCTGCCTCAGCAGCTACATGGCATCACCCTGGCTACTTCTCTCTGCCTTCCTCCTTCTTCCCAGAATTCTCCTCGTCCTGTAGCCCTGCCTATACTTCCTGCCTGGCTACTGGCCAACCAGTGTTTTATTCATCAACCAATAAGAGAAATTTGTATACAGAAGAACATCCCCCAACACTAAGCACTGAGGGAAATGTCTATAATTCCCTGGAACCTGCAGGGGAAATTTTAAAGCCCTAAAATACCCAGATTGTAGTCTAGCATGACCCATTTTGAACTCCTCATCACCAGGAACACACGATAGTAAAACTGTTATTTAAAGGGATGGACCTTATACCATCCGTTAGAGCAGGATTAAACCAAAGCACGCGACATGCATTAGCCAGGCCTTCAGTCGCTCTAACAGATACCTGAGAAAGGCAACTCATGGGAGGGATTGTGTTTTGGTTCACAGTATCAGAGGTGTCCTCTCCATGGTCCTAGGCTCTGCTGGCTCCAGGGCCACGGTGAGGCAGAACATCGTGGTGGGAATGCATGGCAGAGGCTTCTTAGCACAGGGAGGGCCCAGCATAGAAAGAGACAGAAGAAAGGGACAGGGTGTCCCTGAGGACCTGCTCCTAAAGGCCAATTTCTTCCAGCCAAGCCTCACCTCCTCAAGTTTCTATTGCCTCCAAAATAATACCACCAGCCCAGGAGATAGGCCTCATTGTAAAAGACACTTTAAATTTAAAATAGCCAAAAGAAGAAAGGCATAATTTTAAAACACAATTTCACAGAATTAAATGTAGATGTGATTAGAAATGCTGAATACCACTTCTAATCAGAGCAATCATAGTTAAAGATGTATTGTAACTACTAGAATGCAGAATTGTCCTAGATATCTATCCAGTGTTCTCAGTGGCCCAAGAAAAGAGTGCTATTGTATTCTTTGAGTGGTAATCTATGCAGGGAAAGATGTTTTAGAGGGATTTGACAATCTCAGAATTCTAGCTTCTTGTGTGTACTGAAATACATGAATCATTTAGAGTGTGAGACTTTCTTTTCCTTTACAGTGAGACTATTTTTTCCTCTTTTGTGACACGTTATTGGAGTCTCTAGAGAGAAAAAGAGCCCAAGGGAATGGGGAGATACAGAGAAGCCTAGAGCCAGTGCAGAAGAAAGGCACCATGTCCTGCCTGTGTGTGTTTGCAGAAGGCATGCTCCTGGGGGCATTCAGGGGGTGACAGCAGCAGGGACAGTAGCCTGTCATTCTCCCCTCACTGCAGCTGCTCAGTACGGTCTTCTTCAGCAGTCACTGCTACTGCTATCACTAAGGGACATTTGTCAGTTCCTGTGTGGGTCCTCTACCTCAGACACTCCAGAGCTGTGGTGGCCCAGGCTTCATTCTGTAGACCATATCTTCTCTTTGTGCAGCTGCTGCCTAGACTGTTGAGTAATTAGGAGGCAAGGAAATGATTCATCAGCCAACATGTGTCCTGTAACAGCAGCCACCCTGGAGGACACGTACACCTTTAACAACAACTTAATGATGAACGCACTCAGCAGCTCTAATGATGCTCAAGCCAGCTCTGGCCATGATAGCCACCTCCATCAGCAGTGTTTGGACTCTGAAAGATGCACAGAGCAAGGTGTGACCTTGAGGCCATCCTCATTGGGTCCCTTCTCTCAATTAGCTATTTCCAAAAGATTAATTACCAAGAGCTTTCAAATAAGTGCTCTTGGTAAAGGCTCCCATTGGAAACTAGGAGTTTCTCTTTGGGGTGACAGGGGAGCCCTCCAGGTAGATATGCAGAGTCTGGCCTACCCCCACCCCCTCTCAAGACAAGAGCCTAAAACAAAGAATAGGAAGTGCTTAGGGACTCACTGTTAGGGAAAAAGGGGTAAAACCGTCTGCTCTGGCTACGGGGTCCTTTTCTCAATGTTTGCTTTGCTTTCCTCTCTAGGTACCTAACATGCTATCCCATATGTGTCTTGTGTATTCCATATGTACCTTACATACAGTCTCCTGGGAACTCATTTAGAAATTCTTATAGTAGATGGTTTATATTTATTCTTCAAGAGTTGATACAAATTTATCATATTATGTGCAGGAGACCAAGCCTGTGGTGAGCAGGCACACCTGAGGAGCTGTGACAGCAATTGTCACTATCCATGCTCCTTGTAGATACTACCCTTGGTCACATTAGCAATGTTGACTTGGTGTGTTGATCAGTTCTGGCTGCTGTGTAAGTACTATGTGTGGCTTTTATCAGCAGAATGTATTTCTCCCATTCCAGTCCCGGAGGCTGGAGCGTCAGGTAACAGGTAGCGATGAGATCGAGTCTTCTCCAAGGTTTCAGATAGCTTGCTTCTCTGCATACCCTCCCATGGTGGAAAGAATCATGTCCCTCAGAGAACGAAGTGACCCTTCCCTTTTTAATGCTCAAGCGAAAGCAAGGAAATGCATGCACCTTGCACTGAAGAAGGCTGCTGGGTGCAGAGGGAGGCGGGAGGAAGCTGACAGATGGAGGTGGTGGACAGTGAGTGGGTCTGTGTGCAAAAGAGCAGCTGGAATGCCTTTGAAGGTCCAGGAACACAAGAACTTTGCATGAGCCTCAGGGTGTCATTTTGCCCTGTAGAAGACACTGTTGGCTTCTCTACCGCCCACACCCAGAGCAGACAGCCTGAGAGTTTGGAAATATATCCCAGTCTTCCATGGCTGCCTGGGTGCCAGGGATTCAAAGCATTACTCATAACAGAAGAAATTATTAAAGATGACATTTCAAGAAATGTTGATTTGTCACCCAGACAACCTACGGGTGTCTTTCAAGACTCCCGGTGTTCAGGGTAGAATTTTGAAGGCTGCAGATTCTTGGAATTCTGCTAGAAGGCAAATACAAAAGCAGGGTAGGAGGAAGCCATCTGCGAGAGTGTCCCCATGATCTCCATTTATCCTCGTGTGGATAAGCCCTCCACCCAAGGAGATCTGAGGGAACACAGTTAACGGGGAAGACTGAGAACCCTCCCGGGGGCATGTTTGGCTTGGGTATCATGTTGTTGACATTCAAGGGAGTTACCCAGAAGGTGGAGAACCAGGAAGTGAGAAAAACTTTGAGAAGACAGCCTCTCCCTGAGCCTGCTGGTTGATTTTACCATTAGACATTTGCCTTAGCACAGGGACCATGCCATTGGTCACTGACAGGTGAGGAACCTAAAGGCCAGCTGTCTTTCTAAGAACATGTTCTCCTAAAGTGATACCTGGCTTTCTATCTGTGTCATGCGTCTCTGTGACCTTGGCATCGTAGAAAGGTTCCCTATATCCAATGTGGTCCAGCTGCTTGAGAAGGCAGGTAGGTCTGTAATGTTCTTTGAGGCAGGGTCTTACGTAGCCCAGGCTGGCCTTGGACTCCTAATCTGCCCACCTCCACCTAGAGCTCTGTGATTGCACACTTGTACCATCACACCCAGCTCCTAATATTCATCTTTACAGAGAAATAGAATTTGGGCAAACCTAGGTGATTTTTTTTTTTAAGGCAATGCAGTAGGTCTACTCTTACTAATTAGCAGAGCCATTTTCCTAGACATGCACACATTTATGGAGAATACTGTATACAATGTACAGTGACCAAGTCAAAATAAAAACCATTTCTATCTCTGTAAGCGTTCATCTCTTCATGTCTCTTCAACTCCTGTCATTTATTCCTTTTGAAAATGTGTAAGAAGTTCTCAGGATTTAGAGCTGGGTAGGGCTGTTGACTGCTTTTCGCTTGGCAACTTGCAGAGCACCCTCAGACACTCTTAAGTGCTGGTAGGTGCTGGCCTTCAAGAGGGGGCTTCCAGGTCAGAGCCAACAGGATCCCTCTGAGTCCTGCGACTTAAGTGTGTAGTGTCTTCAGCAACAGAATCTTAATTTCTGGGAGGTGACCAAGGGCAGTAGCAATAGCCTATATTTTGGGAGGTATTGTGGACCCTTCTGACCAACAACATAAAATTTCCCCTTCCTGGCCACTGAAGTTTTTGTTATATAGTCTATGGTTCTTATGGAACCTCATTTTTGTATGGGGAGATTATATATATCTTACAAAAGAAAAGGTTTCCCTATAGCGTTTTCAAATACATTTAGCATTTAGTGTCATTTCTTCTTCAGCATTACCTTCAGCGAAAGTAGCAATTAGCTTTAGTTGTCCCTCCCCCCAGAAAGACGGAAAGTAGCTAAATGTATATGGTACTATTAACAGTTTTTCTTTGAAAGGTTTTTGCTTTTTAGAATTTATTTTCATTATTTGTAATTGTGTGTCTGTGTGGATTTGTGTGTTGCGTGTATGTGTCTGTGTGATTGCGGCTATGTATTTTTTGACCAGTGCTCTCACAGCTGTGTACATCTGACCCACACTGAGACAGCCTCTTCTGTGTCTTTGTGTCCACAGTGCGAATCTGTCCAAGGCTGCCTGGGGGGCGTTGGAGAAGAATGGCACCCAGCTGATGATACGCTCCTACGAGCTTGGAGTCCTTTTCCTCCCGTCTGCATTCGTAAGTCTCACATACCCACTTGGTCACACGTGCTATGAATGGGACTTCTGTGTTCTCTCCCACTAGTCACAGTGCAGGCCCAACGTCACCTGGTAGTGGGACCCGGATTTTAATCCAAAACCCATGCTTTTAACTTGGGATGTACCAGGCTAGAGATTCAAAGGTGAGGTTAATAACCATATTTAAAAAACTACTGTAATGTATGACGCAAAGGCTTCTACAGTGGGAAATGACAAGTTATCAAAGGAGTAGCCCAGCCAAGTACAGGACTTTGGAGGCGGGTGGTAGGGAGGTGAGAGGTGGCGAGGGTTTAGTACAGGGAGACATCACACCTGGAAAGGAATCGGCAGTAGCAAAGCTGGGCAGTAAAGAGTTCTGGGTTTGGCTGAGGACACATTTGACAGTGAGCACCCAGAAATGCACCATGTTGGAAGCGGTCTCTCAAGATGTCCAGTACATCAGCCCCTCGGCAGCTTTGAAATAGCTAACAGACTCCATAGCCAAACGCCAGATGAAGTGTCTGCTGTGCCTGTGGGGACCAGGTGGCCTATGCCATGTTTCACTACAATAGAAGCATACTTCCAGAGATTCATTCCTCTAAGTTCCAGAGGCCCCAGGACACCACACACACACACACACACACACACACACACACACACACACACACACACAGAGTACACTCCTGATCATGGGAGACAGTCAGGGGTCAGGGTTGCCTACACAGGGAGATGGCTAATGCCACCCACCATCTCCTCTTTTTTACCGCTTGCTGAAGTTTTAGGATAGTTCCATCGTGAGATGCTCTGGCTGGACTAGGTCTAGCTAAAGGGTACCATTAGCTGGGCCGCAGACTTCAGGCAGCGCATGGGCAGCGATGGACTCACTCTTACAGGGCACTGCATAGCACTCTCGTAGCATGCCCAGCAGGACTCTCTCTCCTCCGTCTCCCATGCTCTGGGGAGCAGCTCTCCCCTCTCCCCGCCCCCCTTACCCGTCCTTCTCCACCCCAGGGGCTTTCAGGGTGTGACTAACTGGCCCACCCTAAGCTGCTCTCCTGAGGTTTCAGCTCCTTCTGTTTCTTACAGAGCAAGCATCTGCTTGCTGTGTACAGCTAGATTACAGTGTCACAGCCTGGAAAGGTAGATGGTGACCTTGTTGAAGGACAAGAATGTGATACTCCTGAGGTCCCACAGCTAGAGTGGGGTCCAGCCCTGAGGCCACTGTCTTCTGTCTGTTACCTCTATCTTTTACTTTTATCAAATGTTGGCATTTGTAAAGTCTGCTCTGAGATGACCCCAGACCATGGGAAATGTCACCCATGCCCTCCAGGCCCCCCTCAATGCAGACACTCTTTTCCTGTATTTTAGATGAAGGCCATAGAGGAAAAAATGGGAATAACCATTTAAAAGCCCCAAATTGACCTTATTAAGAACAAGGCAAGGCACATATAGCACATTTGAGGTAAGAATACATACTGCATTATTTATGACGACTGTCTAGCAAACATAAAAGATGGATGCCGCCCCTTGTGGAGCTAGGTCCCAGGCACGATGACGGTATATCTCACATACTGACTACAGGTGAGCTTGACATTGACCTTAGCTTTCCAAACCATGAGCACAGTTATTGAAGCATTACAGCCCTGGCCGGGGAAAGATTAACAGAAGGTCTATAGCTGTTTATACATGTTCTGTTTTTGTTGTTCTTATTGTTTGTGTATGTCTGGAAAGCAGAAGAATGGGGGATAAGCAGGAGGAAGAGAATAACAGGGAAAGAAAGGAAACGTAGTTACTTGAACTTTGAGACTACTCTAATCATGTGAACAAGGTGCTGTTCCCATGGCCTTTCCATGTGTGGACTAATCTAATTCACTGTTTTTGCTGTTCTTACACGCATCAAATAAAAGGTATTTTTGAGGGGAAAAATAATACTAAGAAGGTCGCAGATCTCTGGCAGTTTATTGGCGTATCTCTAGAGCCTAGGACAGTACTTAGCAGTGGCTTCCTTTATGGAGTGGGTAAGGACTAGCCAGCCACAGCCCTGTCCCAGCACCCTCTCATCCAATTAGTTATCTGTATCCTTCAGTGAGCCATAAATGGCGGGGCACAAAGTCACAGGGAGACATTGCGAGGACTACACAGAAGTGTTTTGACCTTGCATTCTCAGGGAGTTCATGGTCATAGTCAGACACTCTGTGTGTAGTCAGTAAGATACATGTCCCAGGTATGAGCTGAGGGTCAAACCATGAGGGGGGCATGCAGCCTGAGTAAGCTGAAATCCAGGGGCTTTAGTGTTCTTTCCTTACATTCTATAAAATAAGGTTAATCTCACAAAAGGAGGCAGGCAAAAAGATGCCGAAGCAAGCCGTGGGATCAAAGGTATTACTGGTAATTCAGACTTGGGGGTAAGAAGGAGCCAGCCCAACTCTGTGTAGCTCTCTCTGGTTGCTGCCATAGTGGGCTCCTACTCGGTGGAGGCCACTCTGCTTGACTTTCTGCTCTTGGACTTCTGGAGTACCTTCTACATCCAGGCTCTCCTGGCGCAGCCCCCAGTAGTGGGCCTATCTCCAGAGATGGATTCCCAGAGTGCCTCACCAAACAGCTGCCATGGGCCTTGTAGGCTTATGGGATATGGGTGTTTGGTTTCTTAATAGAGGAAGGGACTGAATCAGAGCTCCTGTGTAACCCGCTGTTATGGGAAGCTTCTGAAAAGACAGCAGAAATGCTGGCCATGGCGTTGACTTTGAGGGAAGCCAGCTATCACACAAGCTCAGGAATTATCCACCATCTTTAAAAGAGAGGGTTGCTGCCGAACTGCTCAGGTCCCTCCTCTAAGCACATTGCAAGCTCAGAGCTGAACAGTCAGTGGCCCGGAGCTGCTCAGGTCCACAAACTCCTGAGGCTTCCCCTGTGGGGGCCCCTGGGGAAGAGTGAGAATAGGCTATGGCCCTCGTTCTCAGGAATCTCCAGGGTGCATTGAGATACATAGATACACACGGTACACACAGCACATGATAAGGTGGGTGCTCAGGGACATTTCCAGATAGGAGTCCTGGCCGCTGGGGAGCGTGGGCTCTGCTAGGGGCCTGGGAAAGGCTTTGTGAGGAGGTTCTTCAGTTTAGTCCTTGAGAAGCAAGTGCTCAACCCAGTTTGGGGCACACGCTTGTAGAGAAATAAGACATTATAGTCAAGGAAAAATGCTGTTTTCTGTGTGCTGGGACTGCAGGGTGAGGATGTGGCATGGTCTAGCAGACTGGACTCCTGATGTAGGGTTGCCGGGCAGGACTTGCTGGGGTGGACTGTGTCCCACCTGGACAGTGGAAAGACAAATCTGCGTCACAAGCCAGTTGTCTGAGCCTCTGAATCTTATAAAACATAATTTTTAAATTATAGATTACCACGTACATTATTCAGAAGGTACTTGAGGATATGTGGCATTTGCAAATGTCATCAAAATCAGCTTAATCATTTAAAGGACACTAGCCAGACGGTCTGATTGCTAATGAACTACTGTTACTGGTCACCCCACTTCCCTGCTTTGAAGAATGAGAGATACCCATGGCAACTCCCTCTCCATATCTTTTAATCACTGGTTCTTGTCATTCCTAACTACCCAGGGCTGCTCGTTAATGTCACCTCTGGTCACCCCTGTGGCCACCGTGGCCAGGGAATGCCAGCTGTGTACAGCCTCTGCTTCCTTCCCTAAGGGTCCCAGAGGCCATCTGCGAGCTTCGCTTCACCCTGCCACCAGATGGTTTCATTGGCCACAAGCCTGCTGGTGCTGTCTCCTTAGCAGACCTCCTTTCTTCCTCCAGGCCATGACTCCTGACTGCCCAAGCCACACCCCTTCCCTCTCATTGCTGGCACTTTTATTCATTTAGTTACTTTGTTATTTTACGTGTATGCGTGTTTGCCTGAATGCATGTCTGTGCACCGCGTGTTTGCATGGTGCTCATGGAGGCCAGGAGAGGGTGTCAGTTACCCTGGAACTGGAATTGCAGATGGTTGTAAGTCTTCATGTGGTTGCTGGAAATCAAACAGGTCCCCTGGAAGAACAGCAGTGCTCTTCACTTCTGATCCATGTCTCCAGGCCCTCCTGGCACTAGTTCCCACCATGCAGAACCCATGGCTCTTTGTAGGCTTTCCCCTCTAGCCAGGCCTAATCCATATCAGAAGGCAGCGTTATGCCTCCAGCACTAGCTCTAGTGCTGTAGTGCCCTGTAGACGCTCTTCTCTCTGCATCCCACAGCTCCTGGGACTCTGGGCCCCTTGCGTATCCCATGCTTGGGATCGTCGATGCCATCACTCCCATGCTAGGCTGTGAGCTTGTGGGGGCTCTGAGAAAACGGCCACTAGTTGATGTTGATACCTTTCAAGTCCCTGGAGTTGGCACTCTTCCCTGAGCAGCATGGGCAGCAGTGTCTGTGGAGACTAGGCTTAGTGTAGTGGCACTAAGCCTAGTGTGTACTTCAGTCACCACCAAGTGTGTTGTCAGCAGTTTGAACTGTGGGAGAGCTCACCTGAAGCGAGCAGTCCTATTGAAGTCACACACACACACACACACACACACACACACACACACCAAAGTATGTATGTCCACAACTTCAGCAATAACAATTATCAATGCAAACTGCAATATGGTATCAATCCCTGTGTACTCATCTCATGAATGCCTTAAGGATTTCTGTGTTGATACTAACTTTACAGAGTTCACTGACAAGACCACAGCTGTTGTGAAATGAGGTCAGAAGTTACATCTTAGTGTCCCCCATGGTGCTAGTGAGACACACACACCTCACTCATCTCATCCAGAGTCCGACAGTCTGCCTGCTGGCTGGACACCAGCCAGATCCACCTTCCCCATCAGTCTCCTGTGTACCTCCTGGGCAGAGCTCCAGAGACATGGCCCAGGTTTCTGAGTCATCAGCACCAAAGGTTCTACTTTTGTCCTTCACCAGTGAGCTGTCGTTGCATCCTGCATGCTGACTTGAGACCAGCATT